AATTTTTTTAAATTTATTTTTAAATATAATAAATTTATTATTTTTATTATTTTATAATAAAAAATAATAATATTTTAATAAAATTGACTAGGCTATTTTTTGTTAGGGGTGGAGATGCTTTGGTATATTACTGTTCACTGAAGTATATTACTGTTCACTTGAGTGGATAAATGCGCTGGGTGTTGGCGCAAAGTCTTTAGGGGTGGACTTACTTATAGTTTGTTCATTTTAATGGCTAAAAGAAGAAGGGCGTGCGTGTATGTTTTGTGCAAAAATGGTATTAAAACACAAATAAACAATGAATGGGAGGCTTAGTCGTCTCTCTCGCATCTTAGTGTAGATAATATTATGGGTAAATTACATAAAACTACCTTAATTATTGGGTCATTAACAGTTTCATACCTCGTCTTTAAAAAGTTTCAATGTCATACCTTATCTTCGAATTTATTGCAGTGTCATACCTTCCATCAGTTGTGTGTCAATTCCTCTGTTAAATGCTGACAGGGCCCATTTTCTATTAAAAAAATTAAAAAAAAATTAAAAAAAAAAAAAAACGAAACCCAAATCCCATCACCCTCACCCCCAACCCCCGAAACCCCATCCCCTTCATCATCTTCATCTTCCCGTCCACCCCCCACCCCCCCCCCAAAAAAAAACCTTCCTTCCAAACCCAGAACCCCAACCAGATTGTCCAAATCGTCGCACCCTACCCAACCCTTCCTTCCCATTGAAGTCGGACCACCTCAACTGGTTTTTTTTATTTATTTATTTTTTATTCATTTGTTTGTTAGATTTTGAATGGGAGGGAAGGTGAAGAGAGTGGAGGAGAGGGAGGTGGGTGGGAGGCTCAGGAGGGAGAAATGGGGGGGGGGTGCGTTTGCGAGGGAGTGGGGGTAGGGTTTTGGGTTTGGAAGGAAGGTTTTTTTTTGGGGGGGGGAGGGGGATGGGAAGATAAAGATGATGAAGCGGATGGGATCTGGGTTTCGTTTTTTATTTATTTAATTATTTAATATTTATTAATATAAAGTGGACCATGTCTCATGCCACGCCAGCATTTAACAGTGGAATTGATAGATAACTGACGGAATGTATGACATTGCAACAAATTCAAAGATAAGGTATGACATTTAAACTTTTTAAAGACAAGGTATGAAACTGTTAATGATCTAATAGTTAAAGTAGTTTTATGTAATTTACCCTAATATTATATGTATTAAAGAAAATACAAACCCTAATTGTGGTCAAATGTGGACGTGCCAACTTGCTATCCTCATTCCATAATCATAGGGCATCTAAATATTGTTGAATAGGTATTAATTAATCGGGTAATCTCTGAATCTCATATAAAAATCTGGCACTGACAAAGTGACTACCTTCTTTCGCCCTGTACATATCCAATTCTGATGCACGCCTATTTTTCTTTATCATTTTTCCGTGCCAACTTGTTTTGTTTGGCTTGTAAGAATCCCAAGCTTCACACATGCACACCACACCTTGGATTAGAAAGTTGTTTTAACTAAATTGCCTCATCACAGTTTTACATGTATGAGGGATTGATGTTAGTATAATTATTATGAACATACGTTTAAGTTGTTGATTGACTCTCAGTACTAAATATGATCTGCTACCCTTATGGCTCCTAACTTAACCGTTTAGGTCCAACACAAAGCTACTTAGTTTCAACTGAACCATCCATGTGTGAGGTTTTTTCAAAACACCTTTGGCACTATTAGTGTATAACTATTTTCCTTTAATTATTAACTCATTCTTTATCCTCACGCGCACATGCGAAAAAGTTCATTGTACATTTTCGATATCAAATTAAGTTGTTTCACATTCGTACTTTGCCTACAATCACAAAACTCCAACACAAGTTAGCAAAATGTACTGTAAAACGATAAGAAATTTATTATGCTCCGACATGCACAAGATCAATGAAGTGTTAAGTGTGCGGCTAAAAATTTTGGAATATAAAGATTCACATTCTAGTAGACCAGTACATACTAAAAAATCCGTAAAAAGATTCACTTGTTATAAGAACTGTCCCCATATATATTCTCCGACTATAGGCCATTTGTAATCTAATTCGCGATACAGCTTTTGTAAAAATGTGTAAAGAGCAATGGTAATGGGCACAGTTAGCTTCCTACTCTGCTAGCATAATATTAATATTCCAATAGAAGCTATATACTATTGATTCACAACACCTTACTACATAGAGGAATCCGGATCCTCACCGGATCATCTTTGTGAGGATTTCGGAATTCTGCGAATTATGTCTGTTCATCGTATATTGTGCGGTAAAAAATTATTTTAAATATTTTTATTTAAAATTAACACACAAACAGTACCTGATAAAAATTGATCGCACTATGTACGACAAACGTACTAGATTCAGATCTCTAGGATCCTCAATAAAAGAATCTAAGGAGGATCATGTTGGTAGATAGAGTAATGGAATTGGATCCTCTCTCAGGCAATGCCTCGGGATCCTCCTGGTCGAATAATATAGACCTTTGGATTTTGATCAAATAGTTACAAACAAGAAGATTTCCCTAAAATTATAATAATTATAATTGTTAAATAAAAAATCAACGGTATGTGTTGTCTGGTCAAGATGATCAGAGGATCCAATTCTAGAGTAATATCTCATCGATAAATTTGACAAGTGTCGTTTAAGTATGAAGAAAGATTAATTTCATGAACAGTGATTTTCACTGACTAGTTTTGTCGTATGGTTTGTCAATCCACCACCTTTGCTGCTGCTGCATCGATCGCTGTTTCCCAAGTCATGTGACTCATCTGGAATTAATACATTTTGAAGAACACAATCATTTAGTTTGTAGATGACACTTGATGATACGCACGGGCAAAAATCAAGCAGGATATGCTTAGACTTCAACTTGTAACCAAAGGGTTCACTGGAATGCTGATGCAATGGATTATAAGGCTAAAATGTTTCTGCACATAATCTTGGGAAAACCGTGTCTTGCAGCTTGATTATAATGTCTAGACTCTAGAGTAATGCATACGACCAACACACTTATATATACAATCTCTAATACACGTAAATTTTATCTATAATTATAACGTACATTTTTATTAGGCTAAAAGGTTCTTTTCTGTTTGGGCTTATTAGGCTTAAAAATTTATTATAAAATGTTGTTACATTGAACTCTACATTCCTTTCATCTTTTCATAACTAATCAAAATTTGATTAGAAACTAATTAATTGCTATTTTCCCATTAAACTAAGTTGTAAAATGGTACCACATCATGGATGGAGGACCACTGACCCGTCATGGAGATATATCAACTTTCTTTATCTCACACATTATAGATTACATGATGAGTGATGTGATGAATGTATTCTCCATGTAAGTAAGTTGTTCTCATAAATTTGCATATGCACATTTTTAGTGTAGTAGATGAAAAGAGGTGACCCACACATGCACATTTCTAGATGTGTGGCATTGAATTTTCAGAAGATCTAGTTTGACAAAAAAAAAAATGCAGAAGATCCAGCATGCCATGAAATTCCAAACTATAAGTGCACAACAAAAAATCAGATGCAAATCAAGGGATCATATATGTCAGCTATATTGTCATTGGTCCACATATAATACTCCTATATATTTCTTTCACCTAATCTTTGAATTAAGAACTACTTGAAACCTAATTCCTATTTTGTTAATATATATTCTTGTCAAATTGGTTTGATCACGAGCACGTTTATTGAGCAATAAAATATTATTATATAATACGATTAGGTAATAAACAAATAGAGAGGGCTTTTTACACACACCTAAAAGCAAGTTCAACCAATCCAGACATACTTTCTATTTAAGGATCCCTTTTATGCAATAAAAAGAAAAAGAAAATTAACATTTAGGCAATTGTTCAAAGAAAAAAAAAGAGTCAGAATTGTTGTGGTCAAAGCATATGTTCAATTTACAATATTGAATGCAAATTATAACATAAAAGGTAATTAACTAGTAATTAAGCAAACTAATAATTAAATTAGTATTATTTACGTGAGGGTCATGTGCAGTCTGGTCTACTTCAAACCCTAGAAACACAAAGACCAGTACTCGAGGCCTTCACCCTGAGAAATAAGTGCTCCAACCAATCGTATTACTTCTTCATGCAACTCACTCTAAGATTTTTATGGTTTTTTAGGGCTCTGGATACTGAAAGAGCACAGCACGTATTGTTTCAAAGACAAAAGTGCTACTTATAAACCCTAATATTGTATTCATTTCCTTTGTCTATCTGTCCCCCTACTATTCCCTTTTGGATCAAGATCATTTCATGAACTTAGGAGGCTGAGCTTTCTGAGCAAATCACACGGACCGTTGTATTAAAATTCAACGGTTACAAACAGAAAACTTATCTAAAAATTATAATAATTGTAACTGTTGAATTTTGATCCAACATGCCGTATGATTTGTTCAGGAGGCTCAGCCTCTTAAGCTCATAGAGAATCCTGATCCCTTTTGTCACGTAAAACTTTTATTAAAAGACTGCATGCCCTTTTATTTTCTTTTTAATTTTATTTACCACAACTTGCACATGCAAAAAGAAATTGTGCAGCTTGCCAAATAATCACGTATATCCACAACAAGACAATCCTCTTCCTACATGGGATCTGATTAACTTTCCTCACAGTCGTCGTATCTATTTGTATCTTGAGAAATGCTAAGAATCTCTCAAAGTATAATTTTTTATAGAATTTTTGTCACTTCATGTTTACACACGAGAATTAATGTTATTATGAATTGAAAGAAGGTCTATAGAATCTTAATTTTGAAAAAATCCCATTAGCATTTCTCTTATGTTTTTACCCTTTTCACCTCAAATTCTTCTTTTTCTTTTCGCTGTCTTTTTGCGCACTAAGTAAATTATTTATATCAAACACTTTCATATTTGGCAGCCTTTGTAGTATTAGTATGTGCAATGTAGCATCAACCTTTATAGCTCTCTTGTCGCTCAATCATCAATTCCATGATCAAAATATCACGTCTCTTTTTTTCAACCTGGGAGAGAGAGAGAGAGATTATAAGAGAGAGTGAGAGAGACTTATAAGTGGTAGTTGGGTTCTTCTCTTCCATCAAGAAGGTTAGATGACAGAAACCCAAAATAGCATCCTCTCTGCATAACGCAGATTTCCAAAGCCTCACACAATCTCCTTCTATCTCTCTGAGTGGCTCAATGGATCCTGTGACAAAAGGCTCCATTAATAGACGGAAAGTGAAGGGAGTTGAAGCCATGAAAAACACAAAAAGGGAAGTCAACAGGGGAGCATGGACAGCAGAAGAAGATCAGAAACTGGCTGAGGTTATTGAAATACATGGTGCAAAAAGGTGGAAGACAATTGCATCTAAAGCAGGTATGTGTGTGTGTGTGTGTGTGTGTATCATATATACTTAACATTAAATTAAGCAGGTACTCGACTTATTGAATAATGATCGAGAGCTTAAAAGTGTCTTAATTTTGATTGATCCAGGCCTCAATAGGTGTGGTAAAAGTTGCAGGCTAAGATGGTTGAACTATCTCAGACCAAACATCAAGAGAGGCAACATATCTGAGCAAGAAGAGGACTTGATCGTTAGGCTTCACAAACTTCTTGGAAATAGGTATCCATTGATTTCATACGATAATTAGCATCAAAATTTTAAAGTACATAAATAGTGTGTGAAGGATTAGGGGGTATTCAATTGGGGTCTAGGATCCCTCTAATCGCTCAGAGCAGGAGGTAGACTGTTGAGACAGTTCGATGACTTGGCCCTGATATATAATTTTGCTCGCCTTATCCTATAGTCCTTGCCAATGTCAGATTTACTTACAAAATTGATCATTCTCTTATGGGTTTTTAATTTCTTATTAGGTGGTCTTTGATTGCCGGGCGATTGCCGGGTCGAACAGATAATGAAATAAAAAACTACTGGAATTCTCATTTGAGCAAGAGAATGAACCAGAAGGAGAAGCAAAATGGAGCCAATTTAACAAGACAAATGATCTCCACAGATCATCAGAAGGATCGTGTACAAATGAAAGAAGATTCGTCATCGGAAGAGGGTGCTACTAGTACTAGTACTAGTACTACAAGTGCTGCATCTAAAGGAGGTGATCAAAACTCCAACATTAATATTGATGTGGATGATTTCTTTGATTTCTCCAATGAGGGGCTTTTGAATTTGGAGTGGGTGAGCAAGTTCCTTGGACAAGATGATGGCAGATGGTTTAACTGACCAATAGTGCAGTTTCATGCTAATTAATCATAGTTGTATGTCATAATTTCACCGTCTGTGAGCTAATGGAGTTCATGACGGTGCGCTGAAACTATTGTACATCAATATAAACTTAGATGAGTTTACTTCTGCCCTTTCTTCTGCACATACATACTTGGCAAATATATACAATATTTCCGGTAATTAAATAATCGTCGACGATATGAATTAGTTTATCAATTCTGTTTTTGGTTCAATTTCATTTTATATTTATTTGTATAAAGACGATCACACAATGAGGGCTTGTATAAAGAAAAGCGAAAGAAAAAAAAATGGATGGTTTACATTGTGTAGTGGTGGGAGCACTCCTCCTTCAAATGTAGAATCACTCTCTTATGTGGACGTAAAAATTTCCAAATTTCATCCGATACCAACATGAGGTAGAAGAAAGGAGAATGGTCTTCGCAAACTCTTTTTCTTTTTCTAAATACTTAGTTTCGTCCCCCGACAAATACAGAGGACAAACATACAAGACTCTCTCTCTCTCTCTCTCTCTCTCTATATATATATATATGTGTGTGTGTGTCTCTCTCCCTGCGTCCATATATAATATATACACGCAGACATACATGTAAAATATTTGTAAAGTGGAAAACAGTGAACCTGCAGAAGGAAGTTGAAAGATAGCAATCTAAGGCATTTGAAAGACGATGAACAGAAGCCTAATCACTGCATGGCTTGTCATGTAGTTCCCAGTTGGTTCTAGAGATTCTTTTTTAATAGTGGAGGATTTAAAGCAAAGATAGCGAGTAACGAAAAAAGAGAAACTGAGTTTGTCCATATTATATTGTGGACAATTTGTTAGTGCATAAATCTGTGATGTACGATAAGACAGAAGGCTGCATCTCTGTATGCTTTTAAAATTTACCATTTGCTTGCCAGACTTTCCTGGGACAAATCTTTAACTTGTTCCACAATTATTTGTTCTTTTTTATTCATCAGAAAATTGCAACCATGAGATGTTAATTAACATGAAAAAAACAGTGTGTTTTGCTATTTGTTTTCCGATCTGAATTAAGTTGACACACGTCACGGACAAAAACTAGTGGTGAAGTCGTGATTCATGCTTATATTTACCAAGTCGAAGACTAATTAGAGAATACAAAATTTTATTATATTAGTCTATATAGTAGTGTTAAAAGACACCAAAACAAACTTGAATATCCAAATAACAATATCTCATTTGTATTATGGAGAAGTGTTGTCATCAGTTGAGCGTCATTCAATAGCTGAAATGCTCCACATGCCCACGACATACGATAACATTCTCATTGTTTATATTTGAATTTTAATCCTCTAGATATTTTGGTCAATAAGCCCCTAGTTTCAAGTTTCATTACAATACAGGTTTGTGGTATTTTCCTTTGGTCAGTGAGTGGTGATTACCTTATAGATGTTCATATCATATCCTCTATTCGTTGATGTTGAAAGTCATTGACAATGGGGTGACCTATGTATGAGTATATATAATTTGGACACCATGCAATCAAAGTTTATTCATGAAATTGAGCTTCAGCTATGGTGAGAACAACTTGCATGACACATGTTTACTCTTACAGTGCCGTTTTGTGCCAATATAAGGACATGTAGAAAAAAGCTAATACATGTCATGTATTATTAGCACGGAACGTCATGTGACGGTAAACTCGTGCCATGCAAGTCCTTCTCCCGGGAAATGCTGAAAGAGATGTGGTCCTTCCAGCCTGAATAATTGTTCATGTTGCATCCATATATAGGTCAAGAAATTGTTAGGCAGACAAACAGTACACCCACACATTTGTTTATTATACCTTTCACAGATATAATATCAGTTCCTATAAAGTCGATTTGTCTATTCTGTCACACATGAATTCATATTAATTATTTGTAAGTATGAATATACATAGCGATAACTTCTCTACAAGTGCATTAGAAGTTTCAATCTATATATCTAAGAGCTTAGAAAATTATCTTATGTTCTAGTGTACGGTATGCACCAAATGAATGACGGATTAGACGTGTAGCCAATGATGCAATAAGCAAAGATCCAACGGCCAAAAAATTTAGTATGTTGTATACACCAATGCATAATAAAAAAAAAAACCCAAACTCTCATTCATTGAACACATAATATCGAACACAAGAATAAACGCTTTTAATCACTTAATCTCATGTCATCTTTTGCCGAAGGGAAGGCCAAACCTTCCGGTCAATTTCTTAGAACTTGTATTGCACTGAGTTTTTAGCCACTGCTCAATTTAGTTTGAAATTCAGAGACCAAGTAATTCACCTATCCCAAACCAAAGGAAAAATACAAAATTTCCATCAATTTTTAGGACCATTGCCATTAAGCCCCTGCTATACAGAAATCTCTAAATATCTTTCTCCCACTTGTATCCATTAACTGGTTGGACGTCGATCTCAAAATGTCCAAATTATCACTAATAGCAGCAATTTTTTTCTCTAAAAGTCCTTTGCATACTCATTTGGCACTTTTATGCTATTTAAAAATGTATTAACTCAACTCACTTTTCAACCAACTCCTTAAATTTCATCTCACTTGAAAATATTCATATCTTAACTTTATCTTATCTTATGAGACCCCAAATTTTATTTTCATACTATTTATTAAACAATACTTTTGAATAAAATACTTTGTGAATCCCAATTTGCTAACTTGAAGAAGTAGTAACTTATCTTTTTAGAGATGCTTTTAAACTAGCAAGTGAATATTGTAATTAAAAACCATTTAACTTACTCAAATTAGCTTTTTATCTCCAACAACATTATCTGTTAGCAAACTTTGATTATATTTTTTTTTCTTTCCAAACGATGTAGAAACTTTGATTAAATTCGAATCGATACGTGTGCTTCAGAAGTCAGAGTGTGAACAACCATTCTTGTTCAAACTCATTCCAACTATGAAGGCAATTCAAAACCCAATCCACTTATTTTCTAAAACAACCTTCTCTCTTATTTTTCTCCAGATTGACTCTTGAATTGAAGATGAATTTTTTGAGTTCGACTCTTGACTCTTAAAAAATATAGTTTTGGTTGTTTTGCAGCATCACTTCAGGATGCTCTTAGATCGACAAAAATACTTTCGAATATGGAATAAAGGTAGTTGATGAACAGTAACATTATGAATCCAGTTTTGACATTACATCTTTGGATATTGATGGAGAACTAACAAAAGTTACATCCCTACCAATAGGAAATCATAGCATATATACAAAAAGAAAAAGTTTTGAACTATGGTCTTTTCTACCGTATCTCCACCTGCTCAGAAGTTTCAATTGACGAAAACTCACGTTCCCTTTGCTTTTGCAGAATGAACTCTTTTGTGTTCACCTGAACAAGCAGCGCTAATATAAGTTAGTGATCAAAGAACACTCAAAAGATCATTATCTTTTGGGAGAGGAAGAGAAGTGATTGTTCAGGCTAATTTGGTATTGTATCCCGAGGACATATCTAATAATATCGAGATAAATAAAATACTTATTAAGAAAAAAAATACAGAAAAGTAATTCCGAACTGATGCATAAACTGCATACTTACTTACATTGTGTGCCAGCCCGAACCTGAGTGTCAGCCCCATGCCATGGAGCAAGCATAGTTAACCACCAGTTTACCATCAAAACCAAAATTCTGCAATGTTGATAAAGACAAGTTAGTAGAATCCTGCATTTATCCTAAACAGGTTGAGCATAACACATCACTAGAATCTTAACCACACTTAACAAATGATGCAATTTATCACTTCCCTCCACCAAAAGATTTTGGAACTGATAAACTGAACCACACAACTTTAAAAATCAAGTTATAATAATATTTCTTGAGTTATACAAACTTACATTATACAGATCAATCACCAATTCATCTGGGTTTGGCGAGAATGCACTGTTTACATATACAAACTGCAAAACCGGGAAGATGAGATTAGGACACCAAAACTTATCGACTACTACTACAATTATCTAAAGATACAATGATGAGATCATTTATCATTTACCAAGGTCTCCTTGTGAAGTTGCCTTCGTAGAAACTCAATCACTTTAGCAAACTTGTCGGTTCCAAGAATCTATCCATTGAGGAGAACTGAGTTTCATATCCCATTACAAAACTAACAAAACAGAAAAAAAAAATTTCAAGTGCCAGTGGCACAAGATTTCTAGAAGAGGTAAAAAGCAGCTGTTTGAATTTAGATGTCCCGACATAATATCTATTGTTTCTTTTAATCCATTGCAGAGACAATTCAAGACAGATGAAAATGCATCAACTCCCATCATTAAGTATCATTCCAGATATATTCCATTATACTACAAACTTTCATTCAATACGGTATGCAAAATTAATCCTTTCCTGTCATTGTACCGATATGGCTAAAACTTACTCTTTTATCACATTCACATGCCTAAGGCTATTAAGTATGGCTAGAGATCTATGAATTAACCAGAATTCTAGCATGTCTCAATTCATAGAAAGAACTACCGGATTGGTAATCAAGCAAGAGCAACAAACATAAAACCAGAGACAAAAAAGTAAAATTAAAAGAAGCAGGGCTCAAACGTAGTGCTTGAAATCTAAAATTTCATAGAAAGTAAAGGGTTAATTTCACTTTCAACATCCCATATGGAGATCATACCGAATCAGATTTCTATATAGAAGCTCATATAAATCAGCAGTGCAAATACAAATGCCCTAAACAAATCTAAAGAATTCCAACAATGTTATTGAAACAAAAAATCTTCATCATAAACCATGATAAAATAAAGTGGAATACAATTTCAAGATTCATGAACACTACTGTAAGTCTGTAACCACAAAAAGGAATACCTTGAATTTGGATTGCTTGAGTATAGGAGCATCACCAGTAGCTCTCAGATGAACAACCACTGCACAAAATTAGAAACCCAGAAAATAAAAACACCATCGATCAAAGAACAGAAAACCCAAAATCTAAACTGATCAAAACAGTTTAAAAGGATTTAAAACCCCAATTAATCATTGAGAATTAATGGGTTTTCGTAAGAAATCCAAAAGTCTCACCTTTTTTAACAGCACCCGGAGACTCCGTGGTAGCCATTGCAGACGATCTCCGATCGAACGCCTCAAATATATGGTAATTGAGTTTAATTCAATTGAACTTTGTCAAAAAAATCGGAGTTTCAATTCGATTCTGTTGGGACCGGAATTTGAGAAATGGGTTTCAAAGAGGCTTTCCTAGAACCGATACAGTTTCTATTGGATTTGGAGCTTCGTCGACTCGGCCCGATCTGTTTAAGTTTGGTTCATTGGCTTGGACACATTAATTAATTAATTATAATATTCTGACAATAAATAAATAATTACTATATTTTAATATAGGTATGCTATATTGGCAGTGTTTGAAATTTCTTCAATATGGTTGATGTCCGAAAATTCAGAAAAAGATATGAAGAGGAGGGTGAAGTCTAAATTCACTATGTATCGGAAAAATTCTTAAATTTTTGCTAAATTCGATAGATTTCTTCGATATTTCTAGCATATCAATTAAATATCGGAGAAATTCTTATATTTCGTCTAAATAGTGTTTGACATTTTTAAAATTTTCATTTTAAATACCAATCATTTTTGACAAAAGCAACTGTTGGGGAACTTTTAGGTTGATGTGGATTTGAGCTTTGAGAATGTCCTCTTATCTCCCTTGGTTCGGTTTCGTACCAAGTCCCAGAATATCTCGAAGGAGTTAGCTTGTCTTAGGAAATATCCCGGTTAGATAGATGCCTCGAAGATGACATGATTAAGTAAATAATGGCTTGCTCAAGTGAGGCATGATGTGGAATTTCTTATGTGGTATTTCTTGGTTCTGTCTCTGTTCTTCCTTTCCTTGCTTAATGGCTCTCCCCTTCCTTTTGTAAGTGAAGGGTTCTTCTCTAGGCTTCAAGGGGATCTCCTTTTGTGGCTTGGTCTTCCCCTTCCTTTCTCCCTAACTCTCATACTATTTCTCTTTTGTTGTAAGTTATCTGTACTGTTAAAACCTGCATTCTGCTTCTTCCCAAGGCACGGCTTTCTTGGGCTAGCCTTTCGTAGGCGCTACTTTAGGCAACGCGCCTCATAGTTTTCACTCGTTGATTGTCTGTGCAAGCAAGGAAGGGAAATCATTAAATGCCTGACTTGCTGAGCTTAGAGTGCATTTAATGTTGGAATCTAGTTTAGTCCTAACTAAGAGGTTGGCTTGCTAGGGAAAGAGGCAAACTAGGCTAGTTCTCTCTCAAACTTACCCACGTGGAATACAAAGGTTATGGGCTTGGACTTTTGGCTCCCAAGCAACCCGAAGTCTTTTATAATCTTGACTCCACATAGGCCCAATGAACTCCTGTAACCATCCACACCACAATTCATGTGACTTGGGCTTATCTTAGCATGAATAGTGATTAGCGTGATAAATAGGCATGGCGTAATCCGGTCTAATTACCGTAGCATGGCATGTTCGTAAATATATTTCTTCCTCAATCCCGCACCTTTGCATTATATTTGGGCTTGAATAGAGACTTGCATGACAATTGGGCTTCAAGGCTTGGTCAAGTTTGCATGTGACATTTTTGGGCCGCAACATTAGCCCTCTTGATTATTTGGTTGTGAAAGACCTTGAGTGGGCTAAATAATCAAACTCAGGCCCAAGAGATTTTTGAACGTGTACAATTCCTTTTTTTTTATGTAATATATTTGAACGAACAATTTTTTTTAGTTGTATATACTTAGTTTCAATTTTACAATATAATTTTTTTAATCTTCGTATTTAATATTTTTTATATGCAATTATTTTTTTAATTGATTAATGAAGCTTTTTCATCTTGTAATAATTTTTTTTTCTGTAGTGACAATTATTTTTCGCTAATGCGGTAAAGTACCATAGTATAATATGTATATTGCCATTGTGGTAAAGCACCATATGTATAATAGGTATAAAATTGTTAGTCTTACGTTAATGAAATGGAAGGAGAAGAAGATGTGACAACTTGAATCAATTAAAACTGGCCCATTTCTTTCATTGATTTTATTGCAACAAACAACTACATACAGTAGAGAGAGAATTCTGAGGAATTATTTTTTTACACAGCCTCCTACTGTAGATCACCATAAAATATAGTAGCTAGACTTCTCAATGATCAAAAACTTGGGCCGTTGTTCCATTTGACTACCAGATAATCAAAGTCAACTTCATCATCGTCACACGTACACAAACATAGACACAATAATTACAAGTATTTTTCTCATAATTAATAGGGAATTATGCATATAATAAGCTAATTAGGGTTTTGAAGGTTGAACTAAGATATATTATTTGATTAATGATCTGTATTAATTATCTACGAGCCAGCAGTCCAATTCAGATTCAATGATAGGAGCCTTGGATGATCGGAGATCTGGGCCATGCAACTTATTACTCGTGTCTTCAGTGGTAGCAGCAGCAGCAGCTTTACCAGCTCCCTCATTGTTATAGAGCACAGAGAAATCGACATTAAGAAAATCGGATAGAAAATTCTCGTCCATCTTAAAATCCACCAAAAACTCACACGAATTATTGTTTTCATCGTCCAAAAATGACATTGGTAACAAAGGTTCATCAATCCCCACCATTGGATTATTCACCGCCTGGTTTAGTGTTGGTGCTGCATTGACCACTTGTTCAGTACTGTAACCAAACTTTTGGGACTCATGGGGCAAGACCACTTTTGTGCACCTTGATGCTTTGGTTCTGACCACTTTGGTGCATGAAATATTTGTACTAGGTTTAGGTGACAGCGTAGGTTTTGGTTTTTCTTGGGTTGGTCTACGATTTCCATCAGAACATGAGCGACCTTCAACTTGAATTCTCTTTCCAATTGTAGTGTTCCAATAATTCTTGATTTCATTGTCTGTTCGGCCTGGAAGCCTTCCAGCTATCAAAGACCATCTGCACAGATAAGATAATTTTAAAAAATTTTATAATATAAGGGCAGTGGATCCGAAATTACCAAAGTAGAGAACCTAACTCAAAATGAGTCGACAAAAATAAAAAACCTCAATACATTATGTTATTTCACGTTGAGACATTTCAATTGAAAGTCAAAGTTTAGTAAATTCTCATTGACGGTCAAAATTTAAATTCGTGTATTCCAGACTAATACGAAGAAAAACTCGCACAATTTTTGTTAATAATTATAAACACCCCCCCCCCCAAAAAAAAAAAAAATAATAATTACCTGTTGCCCAGGAGCTTGTGAAGCCTGATGATGAGCTCTTCTTCATCACGAGTGATGTTTCCTCTCTTGATGTCAGGTCTTAGGTAGTTCAACCATCGCAGCCTGCAACTTTTGCCACATCTCTTGAGCCCTGAAAAACCCATATATGAAATGTCGTTACGTGATCTACATTTTCTTTTGAAACATATACGTACAGGGAATGAACAACTGTTTGTCACAATTATATGTTTCAATTGTGCAAATTTTGCTATAGTGGAACGAGACCCCTAGTAAGAAAGGGTTCATGAGTGACACACACGCAGATATATGTATGGGTGTATCTCACCTGCTCTTTTGGGAAGGTTTCTCCATTTCCCTTCACCATGAATTCTGATATATTCAGTTAGCACTTTGTCTTCCATAGCTGTCCATGCTCCTCTATTCAACCCCTCATCCTTTGAACAACAAGGACTCCTTCCCATCTATAAGCCGCCCCTATAGAATTAAGGAACCCTAAAATCTCTCTCTCTCTCTCTCTCTCTCTCTCTCTCTCTCAGTGTGGCTCTCTAGTGGCAATACTAATGACCGACTTATTCTGGGTAGATCATGAGAGCGTGGAAGACTCAATATATATATATATATATATATATATATGTATATGTATATACTGAGGCATGCATGGGAGGGGAACTGATTCACAATATCATTAAGGGCAATTGGATCTTAAAATATTCCGACGCATAAAGAAAAAGAAGGGTCATGATTCAAGTGTGTAGGTTGCATGTGATTTAGGGAACCTTGTTTTTGCCTAACATTTTTGCTAGTATTAAAATATATTAAACTATTTATATAGTACAAGATAAGTAAAGATATTAAATTGTGCATACGCTCAATTATTATGTATGCCTGCATTTCTGTAATTATGAGTGGTGATCATGATACCTTTCCATCCGCATTTCATTTTCCTACAGCTGAAAGGACCGTTAAATCCCGATAAAAATAATAAATAAAAAATAATAAAATAAGCATATATAAATTCGATTGACCTGAATGCCTCTCATGGGCTGCTTAATGGTAGCTAACTTTCTCACTCGCCCTTGAAAGTTGGTTGAAAAAGAAATAAAAAACAGCTCCCCAACATGTGCGGAACATCCTTATTCATGTGTGCATTGGTGTTTTTATTTTTTTGGAAGAGTGTGCATTGGTGTTTGAATTGGGAAGCATTGGCCTGTTCATCCCTTTAATGGGGAGTGGCCGCATCTTCCTTTGTTTCACTGTATAAATGGTCGCCATTCTCAACCACACAATTTGACCACATCATGCATGACATCATTTAGGGCATGTGAAGTTCATGAACGTTTGATGGTCATTTGAAAAGGAGAATTTATGTTTTTTGTGATTGGTTGCGTTTTCAAATTGGTACAATAAATTATTGTTTAAACGTGTGATCCGGGTTTTTGAACTCTATCATTGAATTTTAAAAGTTATCCAGAGTTTTCTTTTGGAACTTTAACGAAAAGCTCATGGAACTATTTATTTTAATGAAAAATCACATTTTACATGAAAAAATCAATCATTGCCCACCCAACACATTGGTGAGTTTGTGATGCATAAGATAATATAGGAAAAATGGAACAAATTTTAGAACATAATAAAAGAGAGCTGCTAGACCCACCATGACACATCCCGACCTAGATCGAGGCATGCTGACCGTCACTTGAGAGTGACGTAGCTATGTGCGCAGTGCGGAAGAATAACAATATAAAGAATTGCGAATAAATAAAAACCAAACTGACTAAGACACTAGATAAGATAAGGTGAAAGACGAGAATAAGTGTGACTACACATAACCAGAGCGTAGGTATCCTAGGTGCAGTCCAGTAGGATAGTTACAAATTATACAATACCAAAGATGGTCCTACATTAGTGATAATCTGTCAGAGCTGCCGTGAATTCCTCGTGAGCCACCAACGAGAACTCCTACCTAAAACCTGGAGGGATGCAAAACAGAGGTGAGTGGGAAAAAACAAAGCTTTTCAAAACCATTTCATTTATCAAAAGTAGTAACCCCTTACTGTAAAACTTGTATAATTCCCAAAAAATAGCATATACGATTATATCCCAAAATCATATTCAAAATAGCAAATCCACCGAATATACCATGTCAAATCTCGGAAAGAAATAAGTAAGCCAGGTGAAATCAATCAATATGAAATAGTATGCAAGCCGGAGTCACATAACGTGACCTGTATGGCTGGGTCTATAACTCATCAACTAGTTCTCTGCATACAAGTCGGAACCACCTAAAGTGGTCTGTACGACAGGTTGGGTGTAAATAAATACGCTTAAGTGCTACGATCACGTGAAGGCTGTGCAAAGTATCGCAAGTCACCTACGAGTCGGAACCACCTGAAGTGGTTTGTACGACAGGCTGACACCTGCCTTGGATCTAAGGTGAGCATGTGGTGTGGGAGGTGAACGATCACGTGAAGGCTAGTCCCTGTCCTCGGTCAGAGCACTAACACCGGGGTGCAGGATAATAAGCTCGAAATATATCTCAGCACTAATGTACTCACTACCATCAATATACTCACCTGAAGCTTACCTAAGCGTCCACAGTGTCGAGCAACAATATGTATGTAACCATAATAATGCACAATTAAACATAAAGAGTATTTGACATGGCATTTCAAAATATCAAACCATTTAATTAAGTTTTCTGGGAAATAAATAAATAAATAAATAAATATATATATATACTGAAAACCAAAAGCCCACTCACTGATATGTGGAAGGGTTGTAACCCCCAAGCCTTGCTTGACTACACTCGTCTTCAGGATAAGTCTCACCTATATGCGAAACAACTATTTAAACGTTATTTTTTAAGCACATAAACAAAACTAGGTAATCGCTTCTTATACATTGCTCAAATGGGGTATTTGAATATACCATTGTGACCTACTCAACCCCACGAACATCCCTATATTTTTAGAAATTTTTTTCGATGTCCCACGCGCCCTCACGTGCCGACCAAGGCACGGCCAGACACCTTGCCCCGCCCACGCGCAGGCACTTGCCTGACACACTGACGGATTCCCTAACATCGTTAGGGAATATTCTGTTAAATATTAGAATATACCGTTAAAGATACCTGACGCAGTAAGAATATTCCGTCAACTTTGACTGAATATTCCCCTCATTCTTCCTTGGTTCGCCGAAGTCCGGTACCGACTACCGCTGCTATCGTCGGATTCTGGAAAAAACTTTAAACTTCAATATCTTTCTCATTTCTACACCAAATTTCACAAATTTTATACCAAAATGAAGCCCTCAACAAGTAGAACATGATCGTACCTTTCAATGGTCCTAAAATCAACGGAAACTCGCTGGAAAAATCTCATGAAAATCTGCCAAATCTACAACTCGATAAACCCGAGTGTTCTAACGTTAAAACCACTCCAAAATCGATCCAATGTGCTAGTAAAGTAAAAATATTACCTTCATAAGTCTCAAAACCACTTAAAACCCACTAAGGGTATTGATGAGTTCTTGAGCTCGCAAGGAGTAAGAAAGTCACCTTCACAGCCTTGATCCGTGACTAGTGAAGCTCGTTGAGAGGTTGACCGTACACTTGTACGAAAAATGGGAAAAATCCGAGAGGGAGAGAAGGAGAGAGGGTCAACGGGTTAGTGTGGGTGTGTTTGTGGTCCAACTTGGGTCACCAACCAAAAACAAGGAAAATCTAAGTCCTAATTAAATCCAAATGATTAGGACTTAAAATGATTGGTCCAATTTCATAGCCCATTTACACACACACAACTCAACACTCAAGGGTAAAATCGTCATTTCCACGCTATCGACGACAAACTAATATATACATTCGGGACGAGCTATGACACACCCTGTTGTTTTATTTTCTCACCCACGTTATATTTACACACACTATAAAAAGTTAAAAAATAAAAAAATTATTTTCCCACTCACTATTATTCCTAAAATAACCCTATATATATATATATATATATATATATGGAAGTGTTATTGGCACTCCAAAAATCTCATTATACGCTCCTCACAAGTGTATTTTTCTTTCCAAATATAGAAAGTTAGGAGTGTAGAATGAGAATTTTGGAGTTCTAATAACAATTCCCTATATGTATATATAATTAGAGATAAACATTTCTCTTAAAAAAAGAATATACACAAATAATATTACTTTCTTCTAATCTTCTAGAAAAAAAAAACCAACATCTTCTAATCTTTAGCATGATGTACACGTTTGGTTGGGATTGAAAATGGAGAAGCTTACTCAAGTAAACCATCTCTCAAGCCCGAACCTCTAGGGTTTTTTTGCAAGGAACGCATGTATGTGACAAAAGAGTGAATTGACGAAAATGCCCTAGAGGCTAGATCATTGACTTTAGTTGACCATCATTTAGTGACGCATGCAAGTTACTATTTTATCTTACCGCATTCACGAAGTACTTGACGGTACGAATGCGTAGGCGCAAGCAGAATCGAAGTTGGGGCTACGATGAAGATTTTACGGAACTACAAATCCGAAAAGTACTTTTGTAAAGATTACTATTTATTATTTTATATATTTCTTATAGTTATTATATTATTATTTTAACATTATTTTGTTATTACATTAATATTAGTTGAGGGAAAGGGACGAATGAGAGAAGGAAAGAAGAAAAGAAAAGGGGGGAGAGTTCCGGGAGAGAAATGAGAGAGATTCGGCCAAGGGGAAGATGAGAGAGGAAGAAGGCGGCCAATGATAAAAGAGGAAAAGAGGAGAAAGGAGGGGAGGGGAGGGACACCAGATCCCTTGCTCGGTTTTTTCTTCCACCCGACCTATCGGGATTCATGGAATCCGACGACTTTCTGGTCATTCTTCTTGCAAATCAAGGTAAACCACTACCTAGAAACAATTCCCTAGCCTTCCCTCTTCCATTTCCACCCAAAATGAGAAGGAAGTTGGTTTAATTTGGTGGAAAACTCCCCGACGGGATTCACGGGTGTCGGCGGCAATTCCGTCGTTTCTGCAGGTGCTACCATCGATAACCACCCTTGTTAAACTCTCATTGAGGCCTGGATCAAAGCCCAAACAAGTTTGGGGTAAGCGGAGCTACGATTTTGACGAATTGAGGAACACCCAAATTTTAGGGTTCCGGCTGGTTCGTGGTGATTTGAAGCCTTTCCCGGCCAAATTGGACTTGGTCATAGGTATAACACTTGCTCTACTTGTTGAGATCTTCATTCTTGTAAAATTTGAGAATTTTAAAAAATAGTTGAATTTTCTGACGAGTAGGGGCGACAGGACGCCGTGGCGGCGGCGCATGGGCCAAGGCACCCCCAGACCTTCTTAGGCTAAATTTGATACCCCAATTCCATGTGTGATTTCCAATTGACGAAATTCCACCATTTGAACATCGTTCCATTAAGGTCCGCTACTTGAATAGTGTAGCAAATGACGATCCAACCGTTATATCATTACCAAACTTTAATACGTAATAGTACGTAATATTTAAGTATATTAGGAACTGACGGATCGAGAATCTG